ATCAGCTGTTGCTGGACCAGTCAGCTGTTGCTGGATCAGTCAGCTGCTGCTGCACCACGTTCAGCTGTTGCTGGACCAGTCAGCTGTTGCTGGATCAGTCAGCTGCTGCTGCACCACATTCAGCTGTTGCTGGACCAGTCAGCTGTTGCTGGATCAGTCAACCGCTGCTGCACCAAGGTCAGCTGCTGTTGCACCACCATCAGCTGTTTCTGAACATGACTCGTCCCGAACCTGTCCGTCCAGCCTGAGCGCCTGCCTTGCCGTCATTGTTTACAAGCCAGGGTGGCTGGTTGCATGCATACATTCGATACATTTTGTATTATTCCATTATTTATAGTGCTTGTTACTGCTAAATAAGCCACCATGGGCCCAAAGAAAACTTCTAGTGCCAACCCTGTAGTAAAAAGGGTGATAAATACTATCATACCACAGTCAGCTGCTGCTGCACCAAGGTCAGCTGTTACTGGACCAGTCAGCTGTTGCTGCACCACAGCTGCTGCTGCACCATGGTCAGCTGTTGCTGCACCACAGCTGCTGCTGCACCATGGTCAGCTGTTGCTGCACCACAGCTGCTGCTGCACCATGGTCAGCTGTTGCTGCACTACAACTGCTGCTGCACTATGGTCAGCTGTTGCTACACCACAGCTGCTGCTGCACCATGGTCAGCGTCTGCCTTGCTGCGCTGCACCCATGGTCAGGGTGCTGCACCTGGCATTCACCACAGTCAGCTGTTGCTTGTTGCTGCACCACCATCAACTGTATTAATCGAAGATGTGGAGAGTGTGTTGTTGGTGTGGCTTAACGTGAAACAATTACCGAGAAACGATTAACCCCGGAGGGTTAGCCACCCAGGATAACCCAAGAAAGTCAGTGCATCATCAAGGACTGTAACTTATTTCCATTTGGGTCCTTAATCTTGTCCCCCAGGATGCGACCCACAACAATTGACTAACACCCAGGTGAACAGGAAAAAATGCCTGGAACTAGTGCTCATATTGGTGAGGTTAGTGGGGAGGATGTGGAAGAGTTGGTGGAGGAGGACAATGAAGAACTAACCACTGATGAGCTGCTAGATCATCTTCAACAGTAAGAGGCCACACCTGAGGAAACTGCTCCGGAGGAGGGGATAGAGAAATTGAAGAAGTTGCCTACTTCAAAGATTAAGGAAATGTGTGCAATGTGGCTTAAAGTGCAAACCTTTTTGATGAAAATCACCCTCACACAGCTATTGCAAGCCGTGCTGGTGACTATTACACTGACAATGTTGTGAAACACTTTAGGAAAGTCATAAAGGAACGAGAGGTACAGGCCTCTATGGACAGATATGTTGTGCGACAGAGGTCCTGTGACTCTCAAGCTGGTCCTAGTGGCATTAAAAGAAGAAGGGAAGTAACCCCGGAAAAGGACTTGACACCTCAAGTCCTAATGGAAGGGGATTCCCCTTCTAAACACTAACACCATCCACACTCTCCCCTCCTCCCATCCCATCAATCATCACCAGATCTTCAATAAAGGTAAGTGTCATGTAACTGTGCATGTCTTCTTCAGTTTATGTGTATTAAAATTAATATTTCATGTGGTAAAAAATTTTTTTTTTTCATACTTTTGGGTGTCTTGCACGGATTAATTTGATTTCCATTATTTCTTATGGGGAAAATTAATTCGCATAACGATAATTTCGCATAACAATGAGCTCTCAGGAACGGATTAATAGTGCTATGCGAGGGTCCACTGTATACATATACATATACATATATACATATACATGGATTTATGAAGGATGAGTTAATCATAGAATTGATGAAGGAAAAAAGTGAGTGGTGCATTGAGGTATATGTGGAGGCAAAAAATGTTATTCTATGGAGACAAAGAAGGGAATGTATGAGACTATAATAATACCAACACTCTTATAAGGGTGTGAAGCTTGGGTTGTAAATGATGCAGCAAGGAGGCGGTTGGAGGCAGTGGAGATGTCCTGTCTAAGAGCAACGTGTGGTGTAAATATTATGCAGAAAATTCGGAGTGTGGAAATTAGGAGAAGGTGTGGAGTTAATAAAATGTATTAGTCAGAGGGCTGAAGAGGGTTTGTTGAGGTGGTTTGGTCATTTAGAGAGAATGGATCAAAGTAGAATGACATGGAGAGCGTATAAATCTGTAGGGGAAGGAAGGCGGGGTAGGGGTCATCCTTGAAAAGGTTGGAGGGAGGAGGTAAAGGAGGTGTTGTGGGCGAGGGGTTTGGACTTCCAGCAAGCGTGAGTGAGCGTGTTAGATAGGACTGAATGGAGACAAATGGTATTTGGGACCTGACGATCTGTTGGAGTGTGAGCAGGGCAATATTTAGTGAAGGGATTCAGGGAAACCGGTTATTTTATATAACCAGACTTGAGTCCTGGAAATGGGAAGTACAATGCCTGCACTCTAAAGGAGGGGTTTGGGATATTGGCAGTTTGGAGAGATATATCGTGTATTTTTATACGTATATACTTCTAAACTGTTGTATTCTGGGCACCTCTGCAAAAACAGTGATTATGTGTGAGTGAGGTGAAAGTGTTGAATGATGATGAAAGTATTTTCTTTTTGGGGATTTTCTTTCTCTTTGGGTCACCCTGCCTCGGTTGGAGATGGCCAACTTGTTGGAAAAAAAAAAAAAAATTATACACTGTGCTGGCATGCAGGTATACATTAAAATCCCAAAGAGCATCTGATTAGTCTTGAGAACACCGACTTGTTGAAAAAAAAAAAAAAAATAATGATATGCAATAAAAATCACTGAGGCCCACTGAATGTTGTATATTATGTTAATACAGTGGACCCCCGCATAACGATGGCATCACATAGCGATTATTTCGCATACCGCTTACTTTAATCGCAAAAATTTTGCCTCACATACCGCTTAAAAACCCGCTTACCGATTTTCCTCCGAGACGCGGCCTGAACCACGCTCACATGTTCCGCCGGTGGCATTGTTTACCAGCCAGCCTCCGCGGTAACATCCAAGCATACAATCGGAATATTTCGTATTATTACAGTGTTTTCGGTGCTTTTTCTGGAAAATAAGTGACCATGGGCCCCAAGAAAGCTTCTAGTGCCAACCCTACAGCAATAAGGGTGAGAATTACAATAGAGATGAAGAAAAAGATCATTGATAAGTATCGCTACTATTGGTGGTACAGCTGCTGCTGCTGCTGCACTGTCAGCTGCTGCTGCTGCTGCACTGTCAGCTGCTGCTGCTGCTGTAGCACCGTTGTTGGTGTGGCTTATTGAGAATACCAAGAAACAATTAACCCCAGAGGATTTGCCACCCAGGATAACCCAAAAAAGTCAGTGTCATCGAAGACTGTCTAACTTATTTCCATTGGGGTCCATAATCTTGTCTCCCAGGATGCAACCCACACAAGTCGACTAACACCCAGGTGAACAGGGAAAAATGCCTGGAACTAGTGCTCATATTGGTGAATTTAAAGCCAGCAAAGGTTGGTTTGAGAGATTTAAGAATCGTAGTGGCATACACAGTGTGATAAGGCCTGTTCTGGAAGAAAATGCCAAACAGGACCTACAGTACTCAGGAGGAAAAGGCACTCCCAGGACACAGTGTCTCATCAGTCATTGCTGCATCTTCAATAAAGGTAAGTGTCATTTATTCTTCATTTAGTAGACTAGTACATGCACAATATATACTGTGCATGTACTACTCTACTATTGTGCATGTATCCTTCTCTTTGTGTGTGGGAAAATGTATATTTCATGTGGTAAAATTTTTTTTTTCATACTTTTGGGTGTCTTGCACGGATTAATTTGATTTCCATTATTTCTTATGGGGAAAATTCATTCACATAACGATTATTTCGCATAACAATTACCCCTCTTGCACGGATTAAAATCGTTAACCGGGGGTCCACTGTATAGACATTGAGGCCTACTGAATGTTGTATATTATGTTAATATAGACATTTTCTTTAATCCATCTATGATATTTTTTCAAAATTACTTAATAAACACACTATGTAACATATAAACATGATAAATACACCCACAATAGAGTAAATTAACATAAATATGAGACGTTTTTCCAGTTGTCTTGTTGGAGCGTCGGAAAGAATAACGTTTTCTCTAGTTCAACACGAAAGAAAATGTGTACACAATGGTATTACTGTAGAAAATTATTCCTTTCGTATGCTTTCACTCAGAGTGTTATTCCTCTAAAAATGGTGTATTATGTGAATATGGGAGTGTTGCTCTTTATTTATTCTACTTAACCAACATGGGGACAACTTGTACATAATGTAAGGTGTTTGTATTATGGTATAAGATTCACAGACATGGAAATGAACATGCATCAACCATAACCAGACCTGTTCGTCTGCTTGTTTACATACTACGTATCTCACCCTACATTAAGACTACAAATATTTTAAGGTATGTAATGAGTTTACGTATGTGTATTTTACTTTCGTTTTTTAAATGTCTACTGCTAACTTAATATACGTTAGCATAAACTTGTTATCTGGCATTTATATGCATTTAAAAGTGGAAAAAATGGCTTTCTGCTTTCCGGCGATGTCCGCTTTCCAGCAGTAGCCTGGAACCTAACCTGCTATATAAGTGGGGCCATACTGTACATGAATGCTGTTTCTTTCATGTGGAAAAAAATTAAGAACAAAGCAAGTCAATTTATTTACCTACTCTCCGTTCACTAGGACTGGTAAATAATGACATAAAAACTGTCTAGATCCTGTACAGCATCATGATGGGTCATAAATAAATGATCTCATGAAAATAAATGAGTAGGCTGTATAGTGTAGGGCTAACCATAAAGCAGATATAAAGCTCTAAACAACAGACTGATTCCATATTAATTGAAGAGAAAACTCAATTTAAGGTATCTCAAATTTGAAAACTTAAGTGAAAAATAAATATTATGATGAAGGGCCTAAAAGGGCTGCATTGGGGACATAACCATTTTACTTATCAAGATACAGTACAAAAATAAAGATATTTACTTTCATTACTCTCAATAGCATATATTTCAACATCAGGATCGATGGCTCCATTACTGGTCGCTCGTTCTCGGGCAGCTGTATTTGGCGAGTCAGGTGGAGTTGGTACACCGCTACACTCATCATCATCTTCTTCCTGAGATGGACCAAGAAGAAGTATTGTACAGTATATAAGAAATATGTAACTTAACACAACTTCCACTACTTGCACACTGATTACCCGGCAAATATCTTAAGATCTCACAGATGCTTAATAATTCTTGAGCGTGCCCCTACATACAGTCAGGAAGTACAAGTTACAATATTTTGAATGAAACAATTCACCTGTAACCCACAATATGGAAATAAATGTTTTGACTTGACACTTAACTTGATAATGGTCAAGAACAGACTGAAGCATTGTCTAAGCATTTATCTTCATATCATGGGTTACCAATAGTTGCAAACTAAAAATAGTACACATACATTTCTTTAACACAGTGGCCATATCCCACCAAAGTAAGGTGACCCAAAGAAGAAGAAACACTTTCACCATCATTCATTCAATCACTGATTTGCCAGAAACATGCTGACATCAAAGTTGGATAACCCTCCAAACCACAACATCCTCACTCCTCCTTAAGAATGAAGCCAATGCTCTTCCCACCTCCAGGACTCATGTCTGGCTAATCATTTTCCCTGAATTCCTTCATAAATGTTAGCTTGCTCACACTGATGGAACGTCAAATCATCAGAACCACTTGCCTCCATTCATTCCTATCTAACACCCCCACCCCTCCTCCCTTTCACCCCAGATTTATACACCCTCCTGGTCATCTTATTGTGCTCTATCCTTTCAAAATGTCCTTAACACCTCAGTAACCCCTTTTCAGCCCTTTGGATAGTATTTTTAGTAACCCTACATCTCTTCCTAAAAACTATGAATTCTCTGCATAATACTCACACCACACATTGCCCTCAGACACTTCTCCACTGCCTTCAACCTAATTCTCTCTCCAACATTTAACCCTTTGAGTGCTGAGACCCATGCTCGCAAACTTGCTCAGTGTCGAAGAATTTTCAAGAAGAAAACAAAAATTCTTTTTTTCTTATGAAATGACAGAGAATCTTTTTCTGAAGATATTGATACCAAAAGCATGAAATTTGATGGAAAATTTATGGAATTATGCTCTCATGAAGTTAGTGGTCTCAGCGATATTTACACATCGGTAATTTTGTCCACTTTGAGCCCCATTTTGGGCCAATTCTTTGCTCCACTCAACCAAACTCATAGCTATTTTGCTAGAACTTCTTTTATCGACTGAGTACAAGAAACTGACCATTTACTTATTTTAACTACCCAAAAATGTGATCAGAAATTACTAATTTGGCCAATTTCACACAAAATTCAAGAAAGGCCAATTTCAAAATAGGGGTCAGAATAAACAATGCAGACATTCCTGGCACTAAAATAACATTTTCTCTGTTCATTAGTCACATCTCCAGGTCTATCTTATATTATGCTTGCTTTTCATTTTGAATTTTTATTCACACAAAAAATAGAAGATTTATTGCTATGCAGACTACTGCATAACTGTAATAATTTTATAAATAATGTCAACCATTCATGACTGCATCTCAGACTGGATACCATATGATACATACAAATTAAAATACAAACATTCTCTATTAATAAGTATGCAATGATTTAATTTAGTGTCTTTACATTTATCTTGACTATTCTTTGTACTGAATATTTATCAATGATATTGCATGAACCATCTCCAGACTTGCCTCCTCTACTCATCTTTGAGATTGTATTGATTCTTTACTATTTTTCTATTCTTCACCTTTGCTTTGAAGTGTTTTTATGAAAATTGGTCTATTCATCTATCGTAATAATCTCTGGATTTTTAACAATATTGAAACACTTACCTCAATTGCATCCTCTTCAGATTCATTCTGCGTAACTCCATCCATCTCTGCTCGAGCTATATCATGGATTCCCAGGAGGAGTGAATAATCCATCAAATGTAGCCTCATCAAGAACTGTGAAGAAGTACCACATTTACATACAGCATACCATAACTTGTAATCAAGACTGAACATGTAAGGCTAAATTTAGTGAAAACTTGTACCATAATTAATTATACTACTCTACCAAATTGCAAGTCCTTGTTACAAAATCATTCATGCATCTCATTCTTTTTATAAAAGAATTTTTAAGTAAATATGGTTTGAACACATTAGCGACTGAGGGATACATCCTCAGTCCTTTTTTCTGCTTAGCCTCAAAACATGAAAACTACAAAAATTTTTTAAAAACAATGCTTCCTGCCTTCCAATTCCCTTCCCTCTCTTTCTCCCCTGCTGCAGAATAGTACAGTATATAGCACTTATACCTGGAACTGAGGTGTGGAGATAGTACACTAAGTGTGTTACTGGAATGGTGCAATACAGTGGACCCCCGGTATTCGATGGCATCGGTATTTGATAAATCCGGTATTCGATGCATTATATCGCAAAAAAATTTCCTCAGTATTCGATATGATTCATACGAGACCTGTCCATGTGTGGCCAGAACTGCCCCGTGTTTGCCAGTGTTTACAAGCCAGCCAGTGTGCACACATCTAGGGATACATTCGGTACATTCCATATTATCCATATTATCACTGTGTTTGGTGCTTGTTTCTGCAAAATAAGTCACCATGGGCCCCAAGAAAGCTTCTAGTGCCAACCCTGTGGTAAAAAGGGTAAGAATTAGTATGGAAATTAAGAAAGATTTTGAAGGGTTTGGGGCTAACCCTGAGAAGCCTATGCCAGTTGTGGAATCCATTGTGTCTACTTCAAAAATTAAGGAAATGTGTGCACAGTGGGTTGAAGTGCAAACCTTTATGGATGAAGATCACCCTAACACAGCTATTGCAAGCCGTGCTGGTGACTATTACAATGACAATGTTGTGGCCCATTTTAGACAAATAGTAAAGGAACGGGAGGTACAGAGCTCTATGGACAGATTTGTTGTGCGACAGAGGTCCACTGACTCTCAAGCTGGTCCTAGTGGTTAAAAGAAGAAGGGAACCCGGAAAGGACCCGAAAGGACTCCTACCTAAGTCCCTAATGGAAGGGGATTCCTCTTCTAAACACTAACACCTCTCCCTCCTACCTCTCATCCATCAATATCACAGATCTTCATTAAGGTTAAGTGTCATTATTTTATTGTATTAGTAATTTCTATTGCATTAACTTTTAATTTCATGTAGGTAATTATGTAATCCCATTATTTGTCTGGAGACGATAAGTGTTGGTTCGTTTTGAAGTACCAAACTAAGCTCTCAACTGAATTATCAAATAGGGCCAAAGAGGCCACATCCAGGACCTGTCTGTTTTAAAAGTTCCTTGAGCTGTAGACTACCTATGCTTGCTCACACATACACTTGTCATTCAGTCTCTAATTATCCCTGGATTTAAGAGAATTTTGTGTGACCTTATTAATATATTAAGTAAAGTGCAATTAACACTGGTTTTTAAAACTAGTGGTACTGCAAAGAGAAAATATGTGGTTCTCAGAATTCTACGTCTTCTCAGCCATTTGTGGCTTCTCAGCCCTTACATCTTCTCAACCATCTACATTTTCCCAGTCATCCACATTATTTTCACTAGTAGAGCTTAACAGTTCAATCAGTTCCTCTTGACTCAAAATAAAAGTTATTCTGAGTCACCACTATCAATCACAGCAGTTTGCACCTCATCTCTCCATGAAAAGATATGTAAAATTACTGTAAATTACATAGAGTACTATATAATTACTATACAGTACAATACTGTCCTGTAGTACTACAGGTTACAATACCCATATTCTTAAGTGTCCAGCTGCCTTCTGCATTAGTGGACCAAGTCCAGTACTTCAGAAGAGAACAGGACAATAATTAAATATTAATTTCATAATTTCGGATTTATGGACAAACAGCATTATTGTACACCCTTTTCCCCTATTAGTCAATGAGAGGTTTTCCTGTACTACACCATGCAGGAATAATCATGTTGGAAGATCTCATTTTTTTCCACACCAACATGGCCATACTCAACACCAGTGTCACTAAAGACCAACTGATCAACTTAAGCAGCAACAATTGAACACAAAATTTCTTAGTTACTGGTATAGTATACGAGTGCCAAGCTTTTCAGGCTACATATGTTACCAATTTATCTTGACTTCCAGTTGAGCTCAACATATGGCTACAAGACTGCCATACCTCTACATCAGCTGTAAGTGTCTCCATAAGCTGCTGTTTTGCTTCCTCACCAATGTATATTTTTGTACCATCCTTCATGAAGTCATTATCCTTTAACGTTGGTAGGTCCTTCTCAAGCTCTTTAACGGATGCTTCACGGTCAACTGTCGAGCCCTTAAGATCGTATTTCCTGAAGAAAATTGAAGCAAATTAGCAAAAAGATTCTTGATTATTAACAGTAGTTTTTTTAATATTAACATATCGGCTGCTTTCCCACCAAGGCAAGGTGGGTATATACTGTGTATACATTTTTTTACTTAATGACCTTCTCCCACCAGAGCAGGGTGAAAAAAAAATTGAAACTTGTTCTCCATCATTCTTTCATTTGCTACCTTGCCACAAGTGGGCTGACATCACAATTCAGATTACCTGCTGACTAACATCCCCCCACCCTTTCTTCAGAGTAGCCTTAAGCCCTACCTATATTTTGGAATACTAGCCCCTGTGCTTCCCACTTCCAGAAAACAAATCTGGCTAAATGATTTCCTTATAGCATTAACCATTTTCTAGGGTTATTTTTCCCTTGCAGCTTGGAGTTAGGCCAGCCTTCATTGCTGATTACCTGGTCAACCAGGATGTGCCTGCTAGCAGCCTGCATACCCATATAGTCATTACAAACTTGCTGGTCTGGCATTTGCAGCAGGTAGTGGTCCAATTTCCTCCTAAAAACTTCTACTCATATTCCAGTATTTTTGCTGTTAGGAGGGTGAAGAGTTGTGGGCCAAGGATGTTGACACAACATTCTCTGACTATGCCCCCGTCTTTTCACTTGGCTTATTCGACACTTCCTCCGTATCAGTCATTCCAGCAGATTTGAGAAAACTGGCAGTGAACTGAGAGTAGGTGTCACTCATATGTATGTGTACAAAATAAAATTAAAATATTTGAGAGAAAGAAAGAAAGAAAAAAAATCATTTCTGGAAAATAATTTACATCTGAAAGTTTAAAATGTTCACGTATATGGATCAGCATGTGAGAGAAATTAATGGGTTTCAAAGTGAGACATTCCTAAGTGAAAATCACAGTGACTCAGATATTCATAATTTGGGAACCTCCTGTATAGGGGTAAGGCTTAAGTTAATACTGTAATTAGATAAATTGGTGAACTTAAAACAGGATGGGAAAATTAATGGCAGGTTATGAGCAAACTGTGGGAATGTATGAGCAAAAGAGTACTTAAATAATTAAAAAGCAGAGATCTGAAAATAAGAAAAATAACTAAAAAACTTAAGAATAAAAATTCATAGTACCATGACTGAAGCAATACACCAAAATCCCAGAGAAGAGGAACCTCATAAGATATTTTGTTAAATCTTGTACCATTCTCATGTCACAACCGGAGCAAGAAAAGCAGAAAATGCCATAAGACAATACAAACCAATAAGTCGTCATGAGGCTCCTCTCCTAAGCGCAGATTTTTGGTGAAAAAACACTTAGCATTTTTCACAAGAGACCTTTATTACAAAGCATAAGTTAGGAGCATCATAATTACTTGTGTATTTGGAGAAAAGTAGAAAAGACATTTCTCATGACAACACAGTATGTCTCAATGTTGTCTACTGTAAGGCGATACATGGCCAGATACTGCGGCAACAACGTCTTGCCATGACGGTTCACAACATACTGAAAACAAAAAATATATTAAGAATGTGCCACCTTATTCTTGAACAATATCTGATCCAAAATCATTTTTATACCATATTTAAAACAGTATGGTATATAATGAATGGTCTCTACATTTTGGCAGGCCATTTTATGACAACACTTGATCTTGTAAACATTTATGTATTAATTTGCCTCTAATCTTTCTTTCCTCTAACTTCTCATATGACCACACTGCATGCACTTCAGTGCTCTATTGTTGTACTTTTGTTAAGTCCCCTGATTATGCCACAACTTTCTAAAATAATGCAAACAAATACTGTATATCATGCAGAATAAATAATCTATACATAATGTATTATACCTTTAAATTAAATCAAATATTAACTCATGAATTATTTCATCATAAATATGAGGGGACTGATAGCCAAAATAAATCATACAAGTTTCTTCTTTCACTAACATATCAATTTGGTTTTGCCTATTGCTAAAATTTTGCACTTAGATTCATATAGCTTATGACAAGGTCAGTTAACTACATCAATTTAATGTTCAGCCAAAGCATTTATCCTCTAATGCTAATAATTTTTTCTTTTCATTCTATGGCCAAATTCATACTCTGTATAAACATTATAGAATTAACAATAAACTTAACCACATGTTTTTAAAGTCATTCATTTCATGCCTAATATTAACAAAGAATAAATTAACCCTTTGACTGTCGCAACCCCAAATCCTAAAGTCTCTCTCTCTGTGTTGCAAGATTTTTGAAAAAAAAAAAACAAAAAAATTATTTTTTCTTATGAAAAGACAGAGAATCTTTTCCCAATATTAATGACACCAAAAGTATGAAATTTGGTGGAAAACTTACGGAATTACACTCTCACGAAGTTAGCAATCTCAGGGATGTTTACACATTGGCGATTTTGCCCACTTTGAGCCCTATTTTTGGCCAATTCCATTGTTCCAATCAACCAAACTCATAGCTATTTCTTTAGAACTCCATCTGTTTTATCAACTGAGTACAAGAAACCACCCATTTACCAATTTCAACTACCCAATAAAGTGGTCAGAAATTGGCAATTTGGTCAATTTCACACAAATTAAAAAAGATGCCAGTTTCAAAATAGAGTCCAGAATGAACAATGCAGACATTCCTAGAACTAAAATAACATTTTCTCTGTTCATCAGTCACATCTCCAGGCCCCTCTTATATACTCTTGCTTTCTATTTTGAATTTTTATTCACACAAAAAATAGAAGATTTACTGTTATGCAGACTACTGCATTATTGTAATAATTGTATAAATAATGTCAACCCATTCATGACTGTGTATCAGAATGGCTAGTTGGACACTTACTGGACAAGGATGTCATTTGTTTACTCTTGAACATCGGCAAAAATTTAACATTTCCGCTAATTTGACTTCAATTTCAAGGTCCTTTTTATCGTGAAAGCAATCAACATCATCTCTAGTTCTGTAATATGTCTTCCATTCTATCAAATGAAATCAAGAAAACGAGAATACAACCATAAATACTATACAAAAATACACCTCAAAAATGGCATTTTAATCCAAAAACAAAGTCAGAGATTTTTTTTTTTCATTTTGCACTGCGTGCTGCAGGATTTTTTTTTATACTGCGCACACTGACCACACTGACCCATCCCCTCACATGTGGGCCTGCTTGATTTGAAGCAGCTAGAATTTTGGAGTATAAATACGTCAAAAACGCTGGCTCGCAAGACGTATGTAGTATACATACGACCGAAACAGTCAAAGGGTTAATGTGCATGTAACATATACACCTCTGTAATGTGATCAACTTTATCCCAGGTCCTCAGGAAAATATTCATCACAGCTCTGTCTTACTCACTCACCACATAAGTCTGCTTCACTTACCAGGTAGTATACTGTACTTTGATCAGGGCATGTGGTTGATCTACTTCATCACCTATTGGATAGTATTCTTTGAACAAGTCGTATGTTTGTCCCACTTCATCCCTTACCAAATGGTATTCTTTGAGCAGGTCTTATATTTGTTCTATTTCACTTACTGGAGGGTATTCTTTGAGCAGAGCATACATTTGTTCTACTCCAATCACCCAACATTATTCTTTGATCTGGGTTTACGTCTGTTCTATTTCTTCACTTACCGGATGGTATTCTTTGAGCAGGGCATGCATTTGTTTCCCCTT